CTGCCTCACAGGGCCTTCTGGTGGCCGTTCGCAGAAGGCTTGCTGGTTTCTGCGTCCCTTGAAGTATTTGATAAGTGGAGTTTGTGAAGCCCTGCAGAAAAATTGAGAAAATGGTGAGAAACGGTGTGCGGCAGGGTGGCCGGGCCAGGGGCTGGCGGGAGACCGCGGAGGCGGCACGCGAAGGGTCGCTGCGGAAACCGAGGCGGGCGCGGCCCTGCCAGTGAGAACCTCTCCCCCCGCCCCCGTGGCCGCCCCTGAGCTGGAGACAGCTGCCCAGCCGCAAGTCAGGCCTTCTGCTCCGTCCAGTGTGGCCCTGGGGGCCACCGCATCGTCACACCCCGCAGGACCAGCTGGGGCTTCCGGTGAGAGGCGTGCAGCCCCTCCCCCCCTCCTCCTGCACCCCAAGGGCGGTGACAGCCTCCTGCAGGTGCGGTCCCACCCCACAGTGCGCCTCCCAGGGGCCCGACCTCAAACGCAACGATCCCACTCACGGGCCCGCACTCAGGAAACCATGTGGGGACGAGATGTTAATCATGTAGTGAGAAGGAAAAGCAATGGAAAACGTCGTCAGAAAAGAAAGAGAAAGAAATGGCAAAAGAACAAGTTGAACGTAAGTATTTCGCTACTCAGAGTTCAGAGAATAAGCGTCGCCACCTAAGTGCCATCGACCGCCCTCGGCACCACACGGCGCTATTTATGCAACGCAGAGAACACACGGAACGCACGGCGCCCTCGCAGGGAGAGACCGAAGCTCCTGTGACGATAAAGCTCCAAGCACCTCAGTGCGATGAGGGACAAAGACGTTCAAGAGCACGTACGCAGCTCACCTACGGGACGGATCACGAGGAAACAACTTTTATCAGCTTCAGACCTTTGCGACACCTTAAAAATATACTTGGAGAAACTTATTTTTCCCCTAAAATTCCATATGGTTACATGCCTGACAGTTACGCAACTTTATGTCACTCTTAAACCAACGTAGCACTCCCGACAAAACTTTCTGTCACCCGCGGATCTTGATGCGAGCAGAGGTAAAATCGAGCCTGTCCATGATGAACAGGAAGGGAAAAGAAATGAATCCCAGGAACGGCGAGCCACTGAGTGACAGCTACGGGCCACGGGCACGTGCTCAGAAACGGGCCGGCTCTGCAGGGAGCTGGGGGGAGGAGGCGAGGCCATCAGGCCCCGGTGGCACGAAGCCCGCAGGGCCATTTCAACGTGTCGCTCCTGGAGCCCGGGGGCAGCGCAGGCTACGATTCTGAGAGGGCACAACGTCTGTCTGCCGCAGAAACAGCCACCTCCGCCGCCCTCCCTAGCTACGCTGAGTGTGCGCGGTGGGCCAGAGGCCTGTGACACAGACACCGTAACCGTCGACAGCACAGCAGCCGAGGGGGGACACCTACAGAGAGACGAGCTGGTCCAGCTCCATCGCCCGTCACGACACCCGGTGCCACCCTAGCTAAGTCCCAGGCCAGGCACACGCAGCATGCACTTAGTGGGGTCCCTAGCTGTGCAGGAGGCGGCGCCTCCCTAGTGCCCCGAGGCATTACAGAAAACGTGTGGGCGAGAGCGGGACCTGCCACATGGTTGCACACAGCTCGGTCACCCCACAGCCTCTCACGGCTCGAGTGCAGACGGTGCGGGGCCCCCGGCACCCGGGGTGCGTCCACGCCCGGCGGAGGCCCGGGGAGGCCAGAACACCTGCAGGTCACTGCAGCGGCTCATTCCGGCGCGGGGACGCGTCTGGGACCGTGGCTAACGCCCCGCTAATGTTACAACGGGCTTAGGATCGAAGCTCCCATGCCAGGCCTCCGGCTGAGAGGAGCGTCTGATGTCCCCGTCTCCGCCGATGTCCGTGGGGCCAGCCGCACAAACCCTGGCACTCGGACCCGGGACGTCTCCCTCTCACACCAGTTTGTCCTCGGCCGTCTCCTCGCAGGGCGACTAGAAAGCAAACTGCATCCGGACACACGCCTGAACCCGTCCCCCACCACGAGCATCCGTGCCGCCCCCGCGGCCGCCGAAAGCCAAACGGGGCCCGGAACGCTGATGCTCGGAGGACGTCGTTCGGGCACGTGAGCCACGGTCAGGATTTTCTACGACAATTGCGGCCTTTCCCTGCTTTTACTACAGAACCGCAGAGTCCAACCTGGGGGGTCCCAGCGCGACAGTCACACCGCCCTGTCCTCCTAAAACGAAGGCCGAAACGCGCAAACGCGCTGCGGCTCACACTGAAACCCTTTCTGTTCAGCCAAACTTGAGCGTCCCTAACACTGTCACAAAGGCGTGGAGCACACGACGAGCACCGTCACTCCCGTCCGCGCTGAGAATCCTCACATTTAACCTGA